ACACACACACACACACACACACACACACACACACACACACACACAGAGGAAGTGGGAATTAGTCAATGAAATTACAGATGCATTTGAATATGGATTAATATTAAAATTAGTGAACAGAAGGTGCAGAATGGAATTACATCTTAATACATTTATTTTAAACTTAAATTTATAAAATGGTATCTCGGATCCTAAGAATCAAAGAAGCATAACCTACATATATTAATGAAATTGCTGACATTTGTATTGTACCTGCTATATCACACAATTCTGCATCAGTAGCACTAGATAGCGCCTCCTCTAGTTCAGGCTCCAGAGTGACATCTTCCAGGATAGGGTCAACAACTTTGGTCTTAGGAACCCACGCTTTTCCTACATACAAACATTTAAAGACAGAAAGATTTAAATTTAAAGATATACAAAGAGAGGGAAAGAAATAATTTCAAAATAATTTTTCCCCTAAAAACAATTTATTAAATGCGAGTGTGCTTGTTTAATATGAGATGTGATATGTGAATAAAATAAAAAATTTATTTTTGCACATAATTTCCAATGACAAGCTGCAATTTCCTTGTGTTATACAAAAAGCGTAAAATACATACAGTGTACTGTTTGTATTTAGGTTTCATAAAAGGGCTATGAAATTTTTAGCAGTTAGACAAAGTTGTTTGTCATTTTATTTATTGGCATTTCCACTACAAAATGTCAAACACAAAGCTGGAAATGACAGTGTAGTGGCAATGTTTATAACTTTCAAGATAAAAAGACAAAAATGACAGAATTTCTCCCGTGATGTATATACACTGTAGGACATTGTTAGTCCACAAATTACAAACTAATGAGAGTGTGAAAAGAGTTTCTTTTCTAAAAGTTCCAAAAGAGTTCATGGTTCTAAATTGAAGTCACTTCTTACCTCTTTTCTCACCAGTGTAGGGAACAAGATCATCTCGATCTGGATGTTCTTTGGCCTGTTTCTCCAGGTGAGATAGAAGGTCATCTCTCTGGAATGTTCCGGTCGGAGCTTTCTTAGTCTGATCCCTCTGTCTGAATCCTGCCGGCAACAGTGCGTTCTGAGAACAATATCATTCAGAAACATTAGATCTGTCATCAAACGATCATAAAAAGCACACAGAATGTAAAATAGCACATTACATAAAAGATAAACTTGCCATATCTTAAATTACCATAGATTCTTAATACCATCACTGTATATGGTACAGTCACAGGGGCCATCTTCCATCAATTTCCTGTATCAGGCTATATCAGATTTCTGAAGCTTGCACCTAACCCAGGTTTTCTCATTTGCACCTACATACTGAAAAGGCAAACGCCACAAATGCCTCAAATACAGAGAGCAATGATAACATTCTTCTAAGACAGGGCCTATCAGCCGGGGAAGTGTACATACGTGCATGTTAAATGTGATGACAGAATCCAGAACACACAGCATTTCAGAGAGAACTCGGAGAGAACAGAGCTTTATAGGACACCTTAGCATTGTTTATCCTTAGCGCTGATAAAATTGAGCAAATGGAGACTCCGGTTAACTAAAGTGACATTTAAAATCATTAAAGTAGATATTTCCACTACAAAATTTACAGCACAATTTAGTGTTTCAGGAAAAGACTCGGCTTTGGTAGGGAATGTTTATTTTTGTTACATTTGAGCAGATTAACTTGTTCCAGCACTAGTATTTATGGTAAACTTCTGCACCTCTGGCTGAACATCTGAGTTTGGGAGAAGAAATTCTCTTTTCCCTCTTCTCTGTTGCTGAACATTTATCCTACATCTGTGTCTAAATCTGTCAAGACAGGCTTAGACGCTGGAGTCAAACCAGATTCCTCAAGAGCGAATATAAAACTGTGGTCTGAGTGAGAAAAAGAACAGCAACAAAGGGAACCAAAGCCTTACAAGACTTGCAATTCCCTAAAAACACTACTGCAATACAACTGCACATACTCCAACCATTGTAAAACGACACAGTCTGATCAAGCTGACTTCACCATGATGGTCTAAACTCAGAAACGCCAGTGTGACACGACACAGCCCAGACAAACACAAACCACAGGAATTAAGTGGAACTCTCAAACAAATAATGGCACTGAAACAATGTCCAACATCAAACAAACCACAATAGGCTACAACACAGTCCAAAGCAAAACAATACAGCCCAGTCAAACAAACACCACTATGAAACAACGCAGTAAAGACAAACAAACACTTTGAAACAACACAGAAAGTGGGTTTCTTAAACAAAAATGCCATTGAAGCAACAACACTAAACAAATGATTGTACAACACAGTCCAGGTGAAAAAGCAGGAATTAAGCTGGCTTCTTAAACAATAAATAGCAACACAGTCCAAAGTAAACAACACAATCCAGTCGAACAAACACCACTGTCACAATACAGACATACAAACAAACAAACACATTAAACATAAAACACAGTAAAGCCAAACAAAGTACACTGGGAAATAGCACAGTCCTGACAAACAAACCAAACTACACTGTAAAAAATGACCGTGAATTTAACGGTAAAAGACTGTATAAATGCTACAGTAAAAACCTGTTAAATGGTTAACGGTAAATTCCCCTACTATATACGGTGAAAAACTGTATTGGACATTACATGTATTGGACATAAATTTATGTATTGGACATAAATTTTACAGTAGTATACCGTTTTTGGAAGTGAAAAAGACCGTATAATTTACAGTGAATAACCGTAAATTGACATTCCCAGAATTCCCTGCGTTACATTTCAAATTTGATGTTTTTTTTGTTGAAATAACGGTTTCTTCTTAGTTTTTTTCTTATCAGTTTTGTATATTAGGGTTGTGTGTTACACCTAATGTTGTTAAATGAATGTTTATTGCATGATTTCAGTTTCATGTGTGTTACCGTGATCGTGTTTGGTGTTTGTGTGACTGAAACTGTGCACCTTCTATACATGTTATTATTTAAAAGCTGCTTGTGATGGGCTTTGGTTCATCAAGTGACTTTCTCATCACCACCTGCATTTGGTGGTTATCAGTGTATTACAAAGGTACAAAACAGATTTCAGTACTTCAAATAGGTTGGTATATTAACATTATATCAGTTAATGAAATTACGGTATTTAACTGTAAAATTAATTTAAAACCATAAAAACCTAAAATGTTGCTACCGTATTTTTTACGGTAAAATTCCGGTAACCACAGCTGCTGGTTTTTTACCGTAAATTTTGCGGAATTTTTTTTACAGTGTAGGTAGCAACAGTCACAAAAAAAAGAAAAGAAAAGAAAAGTTTATTAACCTTTCACATTGCAAAGTATTCAAAGACAACTGAACTTTGAAATGTGTTTCATTTTATGGAGCTCTGAAAGTCGCATTTTTAGATGCGTTTTAAGTGCACTTACATCAGGATCAAGCTCTTCAAGTTCATCTTCAAGTCTCCTGAGTTCTTCTTCACTGAGCTTCTGCAAGAGCTCATCCTCATCCACATCCCGGTACTTGTCCATCTCTTTACGGAACATGGTGAACAAGATAAAATAGAAGAAGTGGACAGAAGAAAAGAAAAAAGACAGGAACAGTCCAGCCGACCAACCACAGCACCTTGGTAAAGACGAGAAACAGATTCATTATTAGGTCTATTCTAAAGAAGGTTCAAAGGATTTTATGCTGAATAATTATGTTCTTCATGATGATCACTATGTCAAGACTATAATTTATGATTTTCTACTATATTTAAGTGGATTAATCGAGACAATTTCAAAGCATATGGGTTATGGAGAGCAGGATAACCACAGGTGTTCTTCATCACATTAACTGAGGACATGCTCTGCTAACATTTAACAACCAGATAACGCACAAATACTTTGTGTTTATATCTGGCTATGCTCGAGTATTTATGACCTAAACTTTTGAATGACTCTTTTCCAAATGTTTTGTTTGAAAAGTTGGCTTATGCTTGCTTATATATATATATACACACACTGTATATATGGATCGTATGATCTTAAAGATTAGATAAATAAAGTCATATATTAATACATCTACATGAAGTCAAACTGAAGGCTGGCATCTGCTTTGGACCAGCTCTATTGTCCTTGGTGAATCCAATAGACAAGGACATTGACCAGCAAACTTCAACACACTATATAATGCTAATTTATTGACTTGAAACCTCTAGTTTAGGTTTCCACAATCAATAAACTAGCTATTATATACACATTTCCGGTTCCTCACACAAACTACTTTTCCACTTGTTAATAAAACTCTCTAAAACAAGTGCCAATAACGATCTATAGAAAAAAGGTGTGTTGCTTCTGATCAGGAAAGACCAGATACATATCTTTTAACATTAGCAAAATAAAGGTCAAAATATATATATCATACATTTAAACCCGCAAGCCTAATTATTATTTCAGATATAGCCTATCATTTTCTCCGAGCGTCATCAGTTCTGTTAATATACATATTTGTATGTTTTATTGCTCTATGCAACGATGAGGAAAACAAAGCGTGTTAGTACCGTAGTATTCTCACTTACTTCAGACAGCGCTTATCCCACACTATATATAGCGCATGTGACAGCTGAATACTTTGACCAGATATGGTTTCTTTTCGGAGCCGCTAATTCACACAAATGCGCAGCTGCCTCAAGCAATGAATGCTCAAGTCCAAGGTTCATAGAAGAACAGCGCTTGACACGGCGGAGAAAAGTCCAAATATTAAAAGCAGTTACTGCTCGAGCCTTCTTTCAACAAGTCTAGCAGTCGGTGTCGATCAAAGAGTTTCTACAAACACGGAGCGCAGAACACGGCCCCGCCCACCGCGCCGACCTACCAATCAAATGATGCCATACCTCAAGCCCACCAATCATGGGATTTCATGGGTCCCACAACTCAAAGCTGCATTTTTAACGATATCAAGTTGCAAAAACAAAAGACAGTCATCCAACTGTCTTAGTATTTTTGTTTAATGCTCTGAACCAAATGTTAACTTGGAAATAAAACAAACCTGAGCACCTGAACACAAATGTTATTTTACAATTAGACCATCTTCCGTTTAGAAAACACACAATAAGATCACAAACAAAGTGCAAAAATCAATGAGTATAAACAATGCAGGCAGTAGTGTCTCACACAATACACACGTGAAAAAAAACTAATTACCAAAATGGCCCCATTGTAAAGACACAGGAAGAGAAGTTGTCCAGGTATTAACGAGTTAATTTGGTAATGTTATAACATTATTATTTATCATAACTGCAAAAACGGGTAAAGAAATCCCTTTTCCATGGCACTCAGAACAATAACTGAAACAATTCTTGAGCATGCATGAATAAAATGACCCACCAAACACATCTAGAGTTAATTCTCTCAAATCCTAGATCAAGGTTTCTGCAGGCTCAAAGTTTCAGCATGGTCCTTGGAAAATCTCAAGCATCTCTGTTGATCTCATCTAAAAACTCCACCATAATGTTGTGGATCCAGATGTCGTTGTCCTCCTGTGTGGTGTCCACTAGGTAGACTGAGATTTTGCGCTCCCAGGGACACTCCCCCTCCTCAACTGACTCGATCTGAGCCACCAGCGGCTTTTTCTCAACATGGTTACGGAACACCATAGAAGCTTCCTCACCCCAGACCCCTTGCTTGACACCTGAAAACAAGCATTTCACATGCAAATCAGAAGCTTTCACAGATATAGGGCTGGGCGATACATCAAATATTTACAATATATTTGATATTTTTATTGACAACATAAAACTGGCTCAGTATTGTGAATATCTCGATTTTAATATTTGTATTTGGTTAAGCATACTGAAGACTAGGCAAGCAAACTTTGTGTCACAATTAGATACTTAAATTATATATAAATTGAATCGGTTCAGAATCAGTTGTTGATTGAAATCCCTGTGTGGAATTTCGAATGCTCTAAAAAAGTATTAGAAAAAAAAAATGCAGGGAAATAGTACTCTTTATTATTTTTAATGTGTTATACTGGTGCATATATAAATATAGCAAAATATTGTTTTAGTTAGTATTCTTTTAGAAAAAAAAGGCTTGTCTTAGCTTTTTTTACTGTACTTGCTTTAAACATTTTGAATCTACTTGCCAACAATGGGCGTTTCGCTGAAATATATAGCTACTTTGAAAGACAAATCACCCTTTAAGTCATTTCAGAGCAAAGATGTACACAGGGATTAAAGTTCCGTCGCTACGACGGATTTCCGTCAGTTCATAAAGACACTGCGTTCCAAACGGGATATATCCCCGCCCGAAGGGCACTTCGGAGTGAAAACAATCATGGCCGCCATATTGAAGGGTCGTTCCAAACCGAAGTGCTCAAAACTGGCCACTTCAAAGGGCCCTTCGGAATGTGCCCTTTCGAAGGACACAACTGATGGACACTTCGGGCTCCCATGAACCTTTGCACAGATTCTTTGCATGATGACGGCACCTCCGTGTGGGCACGTGATTATGACGCAGAAGGGCACTTCAAGAAACAGTTGTTTGGCCCCCTACACCCTTCAAAGCTCTCACTCTGGAGGGTAAACCCTTTGGAAGGGATTAGGGCATAGGGATGTGCCCTTCCGAATGAAACGCAGGGACAGTCACTTGCTTCATTCCTAAATGATTCAGCCGTTCGAACGAATCAATTGAATGAATGATTCAGTGATAAAATTGATTTCATATGATTGGTAACTTATTTGTTTTAAATAGAAATGTTAAAAATATTATAAACACATTTTTGAATTTGACAGATGAAAATTATGCCATTACAAAGGTAAAAAGAAAATACTCCTGTAAGTCACTTTAAGGAGTCAAATGAAAGGAAAGCTAATTTTTGATCAGAATTTTTGATTATTGATCAGAAGGTCAGATCGCACAGTGCTCCTAAATTTTTTAATTAGGAGGACAAGCGCTCCTAATTACAAGAAGAAAAAACTGCTCTTAAACTGGGTGTGTGTGTGTGACTGGTATGGCTGAGGAATGGGGTTTGGTCGAAGAATTTTTTTTTACAATAAGTAGTAGAATAAGACAAATAAGTTACCAATCATATGAAATTAGCATTAATAAATTAATTTCTACTACAGAGGTGGCACAGAAGAACACAAAAGTGAGCAAATTTTTGATCAGAATTTTTGATTATTGATCAGAAGGTCAGATCGCACAGTGCTCCTAAATTTTTTAATTAGGAGGACAAGCGCTCCTAATTACAAGAAGAAAAAACTGCTCTTAAACTGGGTGTGTGTGTGTGACTGGTATGGCTGAGGAATGGGGTTTGGTCGAAGAACTTTTTTTTACAATAAGTAGTAGAATAAGACAAATAAGTTACCAATCATATGAAATTAGCATTAATAAATTAATTTCTACTACAGAGGTGGCACAGAAGAACACAAAAGTGGCTTGTCGGTACCATTTTAACCGTTTAATGAGGTTTCTACAGAGGTGGCACAGAAGAACACAAAAGTGGCTTGTAGGTACATTTTCAGACGTTTAATGAGGCTCAGAGGTAGCATGAGTGCAATTAAATTCATAAATTCATGTGGAGATTAATGTTTTAAATATAACATTTTGAATACAGAAATAGGATTTAAATAACTGAAATTATACGCTTAAAAATGAAACTAAATCTGCCAGCAGGTGGCGGCAAGTCACTGATTTTATTACTGAATCATTCGTTCAACCAGCTGAATCATTCAGGAATGAAGCAAGTGACTGTCTTTATGAACTGAAGTAAATCCGTCATAGCGAAACTTTAATCCCTGTGTGCATCAAATATTAGTAAAAGGCTGAAAAATAACCGACAATTTTGTTTTAGCTTCAATTGGCTCCTGCTTGTCTCTTACCAGCCAATTGAGCAGAAATTCCCTGAAACGGCAGCTGCCTGAACTCATCGATGAGTGGTTGGAGCTGGGAGTAGTTGATCAACTCGTACTTCCCATAATCCAACTCGTACACAGAGACCAATTCATTGGTCAAGACGCCCTTTACCAAAACACGATGCCAACTATAAATAAAGAGAGAGGTGAAGACAAAAGAAGAGTGAAAAAAAAGACAGAAAAAGATTTAGTTGCAAAGAAGGGTGAGGAAGTATAATCCTCATATGCCATTCATATCTCACTTGTTGTCGATCTTGGCAGCGTAGACGTTATTCTTCTGGATGTTGATTTGGATTACTTCCTGTTTGTTGTAGAACAGGATCATCTCTCCCATCAGCACCACCAGCTTGTACAAATCCTGCCATGGCTGCAGCACGAAGTGTCCAGGGTGGCATGCAACTGACACAAACACATCCACGTTTTGCCCGACTAGTGGTAAGTCCAGCGGAGGGGGCAGTGTGAGGGCATTCAACTGTGCAGGAGATGTATAGGAGCTGTCCCCTGCCTCTGGCAGGATCGGTTCGGAAACCCTGGCGATCTCGCTGAAGTAGACATCCCGCTGCCAGAATGGACAGGAGGCAAGCTGATGGTTAACACTGCTCTGAAGGTCCTGAGCTCCATTACCAGAGAAGAGATAGACGTGCACAGTCCTGGTCTCATCAAGCTTCACTATCTAAACACGACACAAACACCAATAAATGGAAACTTTAGAGTAAGAATATCAAAAATTAAAACACAATTTTCAGTAAGCAATAACGGAATGTGCAAGACCTTCATGCAACTGGGGACTTTGTTGAGGACTGTCTCTCTCAACCACAGAACAGCTTCAGGAGGCCAAACACTCCCATCTGCATTCAGTTCCTCCAGGATACACTTTATAGCCTACAGAGGCAGAAACATTTACTTTCATTCATAAAGACTAATGCCATGCCACAGACCTGATCCAATAATAACACTCACTAAATGGACTAACTAAAAATAGTTATTTGAGAGTTACTGTATTATTCAAAGTCAAACACAAAGTTAAAAGTAAGTGATAAGTGATGAGCTTGAATGACTGAGACGTCTGCATGTGTACCTGAGGAGGTATGGTGATGAGCTCTTTGAGGTAAATTGGCGGGATCTCTCTGAGCTCGCTAACCTCCAGAGAAGCAGGAAGTCCCAAATCCAAAAACAGGATGTCCAACACTTGACTGCCATGAAGGTTAATGATCTACACACAAATGCCACACATTCATATAAGCAATGAAAATATAAATCACTCTATTTGGAAAGACTTCAGGTATTCTAGAAGACTAGAATGATTCTAGAATGACGGAAGTACATCTACATAGGGAAAAAAAGACATTTGACTATTTTGATATATTGCACAGCCTCAGTCTTCACTGAAAAAATGGCAATTTAAATGTGTGGAGAGTTAGAACATGACATGAGTGATGAAGGGAAAGTGTAGGCAGTCTTCTCACCTCTGCTCTCGCCCATTTGCCTTTGTGTTTAGCTAGACACACTTTCCCGCAGAACGGTTTGGACACCAACAGCTCCCATGTTAACTTAGAAACGCATAAGAGACATTTAATGCTCTCATAATCAATACACCTCCTAACAGAATCATAAAAATCACAGAAGTTAACTCTTTTACCTGAGAGATGAAGTGTGCTTCAATCTTGTCCATGATGTCTTTGAGTTTGGCCTGGCCTCGAGAAGGCAACTGACAGTAAATACTGCCATCAGAGCACACATTTGTCACAAACACATTTGTGTATACACTGTTCACCTGAAGAGATGGGGGGGAATTCATTTATTAATTTGTATAAATTTTCTCAAAGTCTAACAAAATATGCAGCAATTTAATAATCATGTGATTTTATTTAATTCTGATTGACCT